CCTCCTCACTCATCATCATCATCATCATCATCATCATCATCATCATCATCATCATCATCATCATCATCATCATCATCATCATCATCATCATCATCATCATCATCGTCCCTCTGCCCCTCCACCTTCTTTGCCAGCTGACCGTGTCCTCTTCTAGCACGCATGGCTGCGGACGCACCGGGTGCGCTTGAAGCAGTACGAGCCCCCAGCTGGCTCCTTGCAGAAGCCCGACGGCCCCGCGGCACGAGTTTTTCCCAGCTCGCTCGCCCGCCCGCATCCTCCCACGCCCAAGACCCGCAGCGTCATGTCGAGGAAGCGAACGACCAAGACGAGGAGCGTGCTGCTGTCGGATGAGCCGCACGTAACGTCCCCTCCCTTGAAGGAGCGACGCCTGCCGCCGCTGACGGGAGAGGAAGAGGAGCTGGTGAGCGAGAGGAGGAGGCGACGAGGCGAGTGATCGCGCGCAGGTCCAGAGGCTGTCAGTGCCTAAGAGACGCTCCAACATCGACATGGGCAATGTCGTGATGCTCGGGGGAAGAGGAGGAGGAGGAGGCAGCGGAGAACGTTTTCACTTGCTCTAGGACAAGGCCTGCTGCAGGCGAGCTACCTTCTCCTTGTAAGTTTTCAGAGACTGTTGCGATGCCAGAAGCGCGTCTATGAGCTGTTCCTTGCTCATGCCTTGCAGCTCGCCTCTTGTAGCTCCTGCTGCTGCCCCCAGCTCGACCTGGGCTCCCGTGTGCATCTCACACCAGAACGTCTGGGGAGGAAGAGGATCGCCTGCTGCTCGCACTCTCGCCGGCCCCTTCACCTCGATGATCTTGGTGCGCAGATCCTGTGCCGTCGCCTCCCCGACCGGAACGAGACCTGCGCTGCCGTTAGCGAGCCAAGGCAAGAAAGGCTGCCGCAGGTCGACCTTGCTTGGAGGAGAAGGAGGGAGGAGAGACGGACGCGAGGGAGGAGGCGAGGTTGACGGCCTGTGAGGACGTCTGGATGTTCTGCGGCGCATGATGCATCTCGCACCACCTGCGGCGTCACGCGTGAGAGAGCAGCACCTCCAACAGCTCTCGATGAGGTACAAGAGGACGATGATGCAAGACAAGACAGCAGGCGAGCATCTCACCAGTAAGTTTGAGGTATTGGGTCTTGCTTCACAGCAGGATAACTTTTGGAAGAGGAGGAGGAGGAGGAGAGAATATTCCTCAATACATCAGGGGGTGATGAGGCGAAGGAAAGGAGAGACGGGAGGGCGTCAGCGATCATGCCCTTCAACTTCCACTGAGATGTCGAGGCTTCCTCATCCATCCGAGCGTTCTCGACTTCTTCTCTTCCTCTCCTTCCTTCAGCTGTCGCCATCATCGCCGCCATCGCCATCGTCATCGCCATCGCTCGTACCCACGACCTCGCCATCGCTTCTGGTCGGTCGGATACACCAAACTCCAACCCCACCCTACCCTCACATACCCATGAAAGTACCCACCCTTTGCACTCAACGACATTTTTAGCAAGGAGTCGTATGAGGCCCGGGGCCCGGCCGCCCGGCGGATCACTGACCGCCGGGCCGCGGCCGCGGGGCGGCGATCATGGCATCATGGCATGATGGGCGCCGGGCGATCAGCCTGTGAGCCTCAGCCGCTGTGTGCGGACTCAGGCCGGGCTGAGCCGAACGTCGACGGTCGGAGCTCAGCGTCGGTCAGTGTGACTGACTCGACGGGTCAGTCGAAGACCCGGCAAACAGTCGGAGACCGCTGAAAGGCTTCGGACTGACCGTAGAACAGACAGTCACAGTCACAGTTCAAGGTTCGCCGCGCGTGGCTGCGTCCGACAGTGTCTGAACTCCTTTGACAGTGAACTCACTCATATCGACTCAGTGATCATCGGATTGTGCCGGCCCGGCCGGGCCGCACGTACTGATCCCCGGAGGGCCCGCCTCAGTTACCTTTCAGTGTGTATCCGAAGATCCGTGATCTCTCCCCTCTTTATAACATGTACCCCTACCCCCTGATGAAATGTGACCACCCCTCATCAGGATACCACCCTACTGTCATTCAACAAGCATGTCCCCTTGAAAAATGTACAAGAACCCCCCGATCCACTACCCCCTACCCCTACACCATAATTTACACCCATACTTTGTCATCCATATAAAGGAAATCGAGGGGGGGTGGGTGGTGTCCCTCCCCCCTTTGTACAATGCAGACGCTGCTCTTGTTGGCGGCGACAGGCATGGCAGCCGGGCTGATAGCTCGTCCCTCCTCCCTCTCCTCCTCCTCTCTCCCCTCCCCTTCTTTTCCCTCTTCATCCTCCTCCTACCTTTCTTCTGATCCTCTTCCTCCAAAGCTTCCTCGATCACTTCCAGCCTCTATCCTCCCCCACCTTGCCCAGTCCTGCTGTTCATCCTCGTCCTCAGCTTGGAAACCTTCATCCTCGTGTGATCCTTACAGTCGACCTCTCCACTGTTCATTTCAACCTTCTTCTCCTCCTGATTCTTCTCCCTCCTCAATCTTCTGCTCCCCTCCTCCTTCCTCGTCCCAATACCGAAGAAACCCTCCACCTCTCTCAATGTGCTTTTCTTTCCGGGATCATCAATCCCCCATCTTCAACTTCTGTCATCGAGCTCGACTTCCTCTCCTCTATCCATTCAAGAGGCGGCAGGCCACTGCTAACCCCTCATCATCTTCTTCATCGTCATCATCATCATCCCCTGCATCCTCCTCCTCCTCCTCCTCCTCGGCCAGCGAGCAAGGGCAGGTATCGACTTGTCATCTGCTTCTTTCATGTCCTCACGTTCTCATCCAGCAACACAAGAGTCTGCGGCAGTGGCGGGTGGAGGAGATCGTGCGCATTCTCAAGTTCTCGATTCCCGCCCTCTCCATCCCCCTAGCCGACCCCATCATGAGCTTTGTAGACGCTGTTTGTGTCGGGCAGTACGCGAGCACGCTAGAGCTTGCTGCAATCGGCCCGAACCTCGTCATCTTCAACTTCATCAACTTCACCTTCTCCTTCCTCGCCATAGCCACCACTCTCTCCATGTCCGCCGCTCTCGCCTCCCAGGACCGCAAGACAGCAGGGAGGATCGTCTCCTCTTCACTCCAGCTCGCGCTCCTGTCCGGTGTTGCCATCATCGCAGGTTCAATCTCTCCCCTGCTCACTTTCCCCTCTACCCTCCAGACCCTCACCCTCTCCGCCCTCTCCTCCTGCCTCTCCTCTCCTCTTTCTCTTGTTGATCACACCACAGGAGCAGTCGCGTTCTCCTTCCCTCTCCTGGCAGCCACCGGTGCTGTCCCTGAGCTCCTCCTGGTCGCGCAGAAGTACCTCCTCATCCGCATCTGGGCCTCTCCTGCTGTGCTCGCCACCATGGTGCTTCAGAGCGGCCTTCTGGCTCAGCGCGACTCCTTCACCTGCTTTCTCGCTGTTCTCCTCTCCGCCGCATCCAACATCGCAGGAGACATCTTTCTGATCCGCTTCCTCGGCCTCGGCCTCGAGGGAGCAGCATGGGCGACGCTGGCAGGGAACTACCTCGCCCTCCTCCTGCTAGTCCTGTTGGGCTACACGAGGGTGGGGCAGCGAATGAGGGGGACGGCAGTAGAGCGACTTGAGCTGTCCTTCCATCTGCCGCAGCGAAGTGAACTCTCCTCCCTATCCAAGGTGACGAGGAGAGGGAGGGAGGATGAAGGGAGGAGGGGAGGGGAGGGAGGGATGGGGAGGAGGATTGATGGCGAGGACGAGGACGAGGATGAGGTCGAGGAGGACGAGAGGACAAGGACGAAGAGGAGAAGGGGGCTGATTGCGGTACAGGCTTGTGGACCTCTCTTCTTCGTCTCAGCCTGCAAGAACCTCTGCTACCTCATGCTTCAGTCGGTCGCCACCTCCTTCTCCACCACCACCTGCGCTGCCCACCAGGCGATGTGGAGCGTCTGGACGATCCTCTCCTTCTGCCCCACCCCCCTTGAGCAGTGCGCGCAGGTGGGGAGAGGGGAGCAGAGCAGAGCAGAGCAGAGCAGAGCAGAGGACTGGCGAGGCGACGGGGGGGCAAGAGGAGGCTGTTGAGGGGAGAGAAGGGAGGAGAGGAGAAGGGGCGACGGTAGGGCAAAGGAGTAAAGGGCCAAGGGATGAGGAGGAGCTGGAGGAGGGGGGAGGATGGAAGGAGGAGGATACCCTGACTAGCAGCAGGTGATACTTCCAGCAAGGATTGCCGAGGATGCGGCAGCAGGAGAAGAGGAGAAGGAGAAGAGGAGCTGGCTCAGAGCTCGAGAGTTTGTCAAGTGCCTCCTCCTGGTTGGGTCTGCTCTCGGTCCTGCTGACTTTCAGCTGGGGATGTTCTGAAGAGGTTTCAGGTCTCTTACTAGGAACCATCACAACTATAGTGGTCCAGGTAGAAATCAACATCATCTCGATCTCAATCTCCATCATCATACCATGATGGTTTTGTTCTTCTTCACTTGCTATTTCTTCTTCCTCGTCGTTGATTTCCGTGTAGTTTCCCTCTCTTCTCACCAAAGATGCGACACTCTGGCCAATCATGTCCTCCTTCACGCCGTATATGGGGTGATGCCTATGCCTCCTCCCCCTCTCTCCTCTCCTCTTCTTGATCATTCACCTTCTTCGCAGCATTTCACTTCTTCTCGCCGGTGTCTGCATCTGTCTCGATGGCTCATTGCAGGCAGTCGGCGACCTCTCCTTCCTCTGGCGCTGCCAGGCAGATCTCTCCTCTCCTCTCCTCTCCTCTCCTCTCCTCTCCTCTCCTCTCCTCTCCTCTCCTCTTCTTTCCTCTCCTCTCCTCTCCTCTCCTCTCCTCTCCTCTCCTCTCCTCTCCTCTCCCCT